CAAGAGCGGCCTGAATACTTACCCAAAATACCAAAAGTAGTACTAAAACAAAATCGTTTCGCACGTGTTCGCTAGTAGTGGGCCCCACCGGCTCCGCCTAACTCACCACTGTCTAGTAAAGCAAGAGAGAGAGAGTTGCTTGACACCTTAGCTTCTCCAAACACTTTATCAAACTACTAAATAACACCTAATGAAGAGATTTTATGGAGTAGAAACAAGTTTATGTGATTGTTTTGAAAGATTTGAGTTAGATGGAAGTTAGAAATTGGAAGAGTTTTCTTTCTTCTTTGCTCAAGATGGCCGACCAAGAGGGAGGAGGAAAGAGTGAATTTTTGGTAGTTTTTTGAGATATTTTAACTAAATGGTAAAAAGTCAAAAAGGTGAATAGTTGTCCAACAAGTCCAACCAATGAGATAGTGACACTTGTCACTCCATTTAAAGCATCTCTATCCTTTTTCTCTCTTACATCAATCACATCACAACCTCTACTTATCTCTTAACACCCGATAAATTTCACCCAATGTCCGGAACTTAACCTAATTGGCCGAATTTTTTCGAACTTTTCGCACTAGCGGGTCTCACGTCCATTATATATCCTTAATTTTTCAAAAACTAACCGATACTAGAAAAATCATCTAAAACCTATATTTACTCATAAGAATTATTTGGGAAAAGTTCTAATAAAGAAAAAAATGTAGAAAAGGAGGGCGATAAAAAAAAAATCCCACTTAAACCTTCTAATAAAATAAACTAGGGTTTTCAACCTTAACCGAGGTTAGGGTTTTTCTCCTTAGCCTTAAAACCCGAATTTCACCCCACCGATTAACGAATAACCCTCATATCAGCTTACGAACGGACTGGGGCCTCACAATCTCCCCCACTTAGGACAATTTCGTCCTCAAAATTAATTCTTTGGTCAAAGCGTACCTTCGTAACCCGCCGAAAGATTAGTCACTTCAGGTTGACCCATTACATAGACTCTAGTTGGCCCTTTGAGTCGATTTTTCCCTGCATTTGACGGCTTAGCTGTAGTCCCTTCAGTCGGTCGCTTAGGTTTCTTCTTTTGTAACTTAGGGCACTGGGCGATCAGGTGTTCCGCACTACCACACTTATAGCATCTTCGGATCGAACTGTTCTTCCAACAGTTTTCGTTAGTGTGATTGGCCCCACAGAAACCACAAATTGGCTTAATGCCCGCACTTGGCCCTCCACGCTGGGCACTCCTCTGGGGCTCTTGCCCTACTCGTCCTCCTCTTCCAAATTTACCTTGGTTTAGGGTTCCTGCGGGTCGAAGACCATATGTTCCTTGACTCTTCTTAGAAGGTGACTCATTTTGCGAGCTCTGTCCAGTCACCAAATGGCTCGAATCGAGTTGTTTTCGTTTCCTCTCATGAAAGAATTTTACCTGTCCCCTAACTGTCTCAATCCGCTGTGCTTTTTCTAGTGCCTGGCCAAACGTGTCCAACTGAGCAGCTGCAAGTGCCTCCTGGATCTTCACATTTAAACCTTGAACGAAGCGGCGGATTCGTTTTCGCTCCGTTAACACTAACTCCGGGGCAAAACGGGAGAGTTTTGTGAATTGGGTCTCGTACTCCGCTACACTAAGTGTCCCTTGACGCAAGCGGATAAAATCATCTTCCCGTTTCTCTTGTATGATGGGAGGTAAATATTTTTCATTAAACTCTCGGGTAAAGTTGATCCATGTCCAGGGGGTCTGTTCCCGCTCCTACTTAGCTCTGATCACATTCCACCAGACTCGAGCGGCCCCCTCAAATTGGAAAACAGCAAAAGATATCTGCCGCTCCTCCGAATACCTAAGTGCGGCAAATATATCTAGCATACGGTCCATCCACTTTTCTGCTAGATCAGGGTTAGATCCACCTACAAACTTGGGGGGTGCGAATTTTTGGAACCGTTCTAAAGCACGGTCCTCTCCCTCGTGATTGCCCGGATTATTTCTCGAGTTTCCAGCAGCATTCCCATGGCCCTGACCCTGTTGGTCAACCATACGTTCCATTAAGTTAGCCATTGGCTGGATGGCTGTAGCTACTTAGTCTGGCTCTTATTCATGTTCCATTTCAGGGTTTCGTCCTCGCCTTCTACCTCTACCTCGAGTACCGGAGGCCATTTAAATGCCAAAAGTCTATTGATCCAAGCATAACGTGTGCTTAGTATTCAAACTAGAAACAAAACAAAAACACAAAACAGATACACGAAAGGCACGCAAAGGATAGGTGCAAAAGATAATACTCGAATATATACATTTATTTTCAAAGTCACACCAAAAGATATATAAATTACCCGACCTCCAGTCGGGTCAAAACTCAATATACACACGAGCACTCCAGCTCCAAAAATCTAGTCAGCCAACCAGATAACAAAAGAAATTAGCCAGGCCAGTTCTAACAAAAGTAAGCTGCCAGCTAATCAAAATACGAAAGCGACCCTAAACGCCTCCCCTAGGGCCCCGGTTCCCTACGGAACCTAAAGTACCTATCTCACCTATCTGCTCTAGCCCGATAACTCGTGGGGGTGCCTCCGCGGCCATGTCTAGTAAGACCCCACAATCAAACGTGATACTCCGGGCCCTCTCCCTGAGCTGCCTCTTCATAGCGAAGAGGTGCTGGTGTGTGTCTCGGAGATCCCGCTCCAGGTCCCTAACGCGCAACGCCTGCCAGCGGCTAAACTCTCTAGCCTCCTCCAGCTGCGCCCTTAAAGTCTCGACCGTCTGGTCTAGGTGACAACGCTCGTCATCCATCGCCAAGACAATCTCGTCAGGATAGCTATAGGTATACCAGCACGCACAGGGTCGGCGCGACACCTGGCCGAAGGGAGAATACAAAATGTATGGCTCCCCAAGCCTCCTCCGATAGCGGATCGCCCGCTTACACAGCACCCGGTCATCCGAGCCCCTCCCACTCGGAGGTCTCGATTCCGGTCCCACGCCGCTAGAACTGCCCGGATCCATACCTGCAAACATTAATTCGTTAGTTAACCGTCATTTCAACTTAAAATATATCATTCAACTTAAAGAGAATCACGTAATCCTAATGAACCAATCACGTATGTCTCACAATTGCCCAAATCCTCTAACCTAGGCGCTCTGATACCAACTGTGACGCCCCCGCTTCTCTCAAGGGCGAACCTTAGGGTATCGGCGGGACGCCTGCCTAACTCGCGTCAGGACTCGAAACACAAAACTAATAAAACGATATTAAATCAAAAGAGAACTATGTATAATATATACAACCACCAAAAGTTCTATTTACATCTTCAAAAGCATCAAGTCAAACCTCTCTAATATACTATAACAACAACCAGTAGAAGGTAGACCCTAAGGAGGGTCCTTATACAAACCACCAAAACAAAAACAAACATCCTAACTGTCCAACTATTACAAACGAGACCTAACTATACTAACGGCAGAGTCCCAAGGTTCCCCGCGTCGTCCCCTGCTAAGGAAAACAAAGGAAACGGGGTAAGTTAGAAGTTTAGTAAGTAAACAGGGGTAAAAACGTAAATTTCACGTAACCACATTTACACAGTAGGAGTAAAGCAAAAGCAGAAAAATAACATCACATGATAAGGATACATATGGCTCCAAAGCCAAGTCATTTGCCATGCGTGATCTCCTGTCGACACTCCGTCGACCATAAATAAGGTCCGTAGAACTTCACTTGTACACCCACCGGACACCTTATCACCCTCACTGGCCAGTCACCTCACAAACTTGCCCGGACGAACGAAATCACAAACTTGAGCTTGAGTCACAAGCTCGGGTCACAAACTTGGTTCACAACTCGGTGAACCGGATTCACAAACTTGGTGACCTCAATCCAAGCTGGACTGACTTCGACCAAGCCCTAACCGGCCGAATAGTCCCTCGAGGTATTGAGATCAGCCCCAAACTCACAAATTGCACAAAATTATTCAAAAGTTACCCTAAGCCACAAGCTCAAGGGTTTTAGTTCCAAAATTGCTTATATACACAAGTCATGTACAGATATGTGCGCAAATTAGGGTCTAGATCGAGTGCGATAAAGTACACCCTCGCCTAGGTACCATTTTCATACAAATCGAAACACATAAGCAACGAACACACAAGAGCGGCCTGAATACTTACCCAAAATACCAAAAGTAGTACTAAAACAAAATCGCTTCGCGCGTGTTCGCTAGTAGTGGGCCCCACCGGCTCCGCCTAACTAACCACTGTCTAGTAAAACAAGAGAGAGAGAGTTGCTTGACACCTTAGCTTCTCCAAACACTTCACCAAACTACTAAATAACACCTAATGAAGAGATTTTATGGAGTAGAAACAAGTTTATGTGATTGTTTTGGAAGATTTGAGCTAGATGGAAGCTAGAAATTGGAAGAGTTTTCTTTCTTCTTTGCTCAAGATGGCCGACCAAGAGGGAGGAGGAAAGAGTGAATTTTTGATAGTTTTTTGAGATATTTTAACTAAATGGTAAAAAGTCAAAAAGGTGAATAGTTGTCCCACAAGTCCAACCAATGAGATAGTGACACTTGTCACTCCATTTAAAGCATCTCTATCCTTTTTCTCTCTCACATCAATCACATCACAACCTCTACTTATCTCTTAACACCCGATAAATTTCACCCAGTGTCCGGAACTTAACCTAATTGGCCGAATTTTTCGGAACTTTTTGCACTAGCGGATCCCACGTCCGTTATATATTCTTAATTTTTCAAAAACTAACCGATACTAGAAAAATCATCTAAAACCTATATTTACTCATAAGAATTATCTGGGGAAAGTTCTAATAAAGAAAAAAATGTAGAAAAGACGGGCGATAAATAAAAACCCCACTTAAACCTTCTAATAAAATAAACTAGGGTTTTCAACCTTAACCGAGGTTAGGGTTTTTCTCCTTAGCCTTAAAACCCGAATTCCACCCCACCGATTAACGAATAACCCTCATATCAGATTACGAACGGACTGGGGCCTCACACACGACACAGAGCATGAGCTACAGAATAGAATGGCTGTATCAGATAGATTAACTGAAAGTCTTGTGATCAAACTCATGGAAGTTATGAAGACCAATCCTTATGCTTGTTTTTTCCGTAGTTTACGCAACATACCTCAGCTGGATTCTTACCAGATAGTCTTAAAGTCTCACACTGATAATGATCAACGCGTATTCAACCAGCCAACAGCTTCTCAAATTGCGGCTCTTTGGGTGGAAGGAGAAAATTCAACTAACGTCTACTCGAGACATATACAAATCTATACTAAAGAGGGTCATACTCATCGAATTCAATATTATTATGGATGCTATGATCCTCTCCAGTACCCGCTGTTGTTCCCACTCGGAGAAACTGGTTGGCATCCAGGAATTAAAAGATCAGAAAAAATCAATCCAAAAAAAACAAAGAGAGCAACAAGAAAACAACACACTTCGGCAACATTGTCTAATTTCTCTTCTGCTCAAGAAATGATTGACAAGGAAGGGCAAGGTTAGACCATTTATATGCATTTCTTATCTTATATATACAAAGCTGTATATTTACACCACTTTTGTTATCTCTTATCTCTCTTATATATAAAAAAATACATATTTACATCAATTTTTCTTAATGCTCATCTGTAGCTATTCAGGAGTGCAACAACTCAAAAGAATATATATCAATGAGAGAATACTATGCTTATAAAATGCAAATTAGACACCAGTGTACGCCTAACATTCTCAATACTGGACGACTATTTCAACAATTTGTAGTCGAGATGTATGTGAAGATTGAGACCCAGAGATTGGATTTTTACAGAAGCAGGCAACAATTAATACGAAGAGAACAATTACAGAGACTCATGGACAGTATTATTCAAGGACAATCTCGCGGAGCACAGGTTGGCCAAAAAGTTATCCTTCCAGCTTCGTTTATTGGGGGTCCAAGAGATATGAAAAGACGATATGTGGATGCAATGGCTCTTGTACAAAAATTTGGCCGACCAGATATATTTATTACAATGACTTGTAACCCTGCTTGGTCAGAAATAAAAGAAACAATGTTACGTACAGATGAAGCTCATAACCGACCAGATCTTCTATCAAGAGTATTCCATGGAAAGGTGAACATTTTAAAGGAAGATTTATTCAAAAAACATATATTTGGAGAAGTCGCAGCATATACTTATGTTGTGGAATTCCAGAAACGCGGACTGCCGCACATTCATATGCTTATTATCCTGCAACCGAAATCAAAATTATATTCCACAGATTCGTATGATCGAATTGTGGCTGCTGAAATACCAGATGAACACGAAAATAAATATCTGTTCAATATGGTTCAAAAACACATGATGCACGGTCCATGTGGAACAAAAAACCCAAAGAATATCTGTATGCAAGGCTCATTTATGAGAAGATGCAGAAATAGTTACCCAAAGAAATGGGCCAGCAGAACAACTCATGGAAACAACACTTATCCAACTTATAGAAGAAGAGACGATGGCAAGAAAATTATTGTTCGTGGACAAGAGCTGGACAACAGGTGGGTAGTCCCCTACAACCCTTATTTACTTGCAAAATTTAATTGCCACATTAATGTTGAAATATGCTCTACTGTTAAAGCTGTTAAATACATCTATAAATATATCTACAAAGGACATGATAAGATACATTTCCAAGTTAACAATGATAGTGAACCAACAACTAATAACCAACAAACTCAGATTGATGAAATCACAGAATACCAATCTGCTAGATGGGTATGTCCAGTTGAAGCTATATGGCGTATTTATAGATTCTCATTATCTGAAATGTATCCTGCAGTTATTCATCTTCAACTACACCTTGAGAACTTCCAATGCATAACTTTTAATGAAAATGAAGACTTACGAGATCTTTTGCAAAATTCTTTCAGGAAAAGAACAATGCTAACGGAATTTTTCCACATGAATGCTACTGATCCATTAGCTAAACATCTCAAATGTACATACAAAGAATTTTCAGAGTACTTTGTATGGTATCCTGGAAAAAAGTATTGGGCAGTTAGACAACAAAAAGATAGCATTGGTAGGATAGTTAGCGCCAGTCCAACAGAGGGTGAACGTTACTTTCTTAGACTGTTACTTACTCATGTCAAAGCACCAACATCTTTTGACGACTTAAAGACAATAAATGGAGTTCATGTTGCTACATATCGATAGTCAGCTATCTTGAGAGGTTATTTTGAATAAAATGATTCACAAGAACAATGTATGGAAGAAGCTGCTTCATATCATATGCCACACAGTCTACGCAGATTATTCGCAACTTTATTGGTTTATTTCCCACCAGCAAATCCTCTAATTTTATGGAGCAAATTTGAACAGGCAATGTATGAAAACTACAATAAAATGTCTACTTTACCTGCTGAACAGGTTAGACTTAAGGTACTACACCAGATCAGCAACTTTTTGGATTCAATGGGAAAAGACATCAACAGCTTTTGCTTAGTGTCTACAACATTAAGATTCCGAGATAGATACACAAATACAAGAGATACCTCAAGTGAGATAAATATTCAGGTATCAGAAACAGATTTATCAACCGCTACACAGCTCAATACAGAACAAAAAGTTGCTTTTGATCACATAATGGATGCTATATTTATTAAACAAAAGGGATGCTTTTTTATTGATGGACCTGGAGGCACAGGAAAAACATTTCTATACAAAGCTTTGCTAGTTACTATAAGATCAAGAGGTTATGTAGCCCTTGCAACTGCATCATGTGGAGTTACAACATCTATCTTACCCGGAGGACGAACAGCGCACTCGCGCTTCAAAATCCCTATAGACATGAATCCAGCTAATATGTGTAAAGTTAGCAAACAAAGTGTTTCGGCAAATTTACTTCGCCAAGCAAAATTAATTCTTTGGGATGAAGCACCAATGACTCATCGACATGGAATTGAAGGAGTTGACAAACTTCTAAAAGACCTGATGAATTCTACAGAACTATTTGGAGGAAAAGTTATCGTGTTTGGGGGCGATTTCAGACAAGTCTTACCCGTAGTCACAAAAGGAATCAAAACAGATTTCATCGAAGCAAGTATCATTAGTTCCTATATTTGGCCACAACTCACAAAACTACATGTCAGCCAAAATATGAGAGCCATAACTGATCCATAGTTTACTGCTTATCTCCTTCAAATTGGAAATGGAACAGAGCCACTGATTGATGATATCAACATTCGCGTGCCAGACACCCTCCTCATTCCCTACACTAACGAAGATGAGTCTATCAACATACTCATAAACTCTTTTTTTCCAGATCTTACGGCTTTTAGTAATCAAAATTTTCCTTTGGTAAACCGAGCAATACTTACAACGAAAAATGAATTTGTTGATGAACTAAATAGCATTCTTATAAAAAACTTTCCTGGGGAAGCACATGAATATATAAGCCGTGATAAATCCATTATAGAATCAGAACAGGCAGTCTTAGAAGATTTCCTTAACAGTTTAACTCCAAATGGTTTCCCACCTCATAAAATTATCCTAAAACCAAATACACCAATAATTCTACTAAGAAATATTGATCATCCGGAAGGTTTCTGCAATGGTACCAGACTTATATGTAAATCTTTAACACAAAATGTTATACATGCTATTATTAGTTGTGGTGAATTTATTGGTAAAGATGTGTTTCTTCACAGAATTTGTTTTCGAATAGATAATGATGCTGATTGCCCTGTTCCTTTTGAAAGAATTCAATTTCCTATTCGTTTATGCTTCGCAATGACCATTAACAAAGCTCAGGGTCAGACTTTAGATTATGTTGGATTATACTTACGCGAGCCAGTCTTTTCTCATGGACAATTTTATGTAGCACTATCTAGAGCTAAAAATAGTACATCTATTAAGATACTAATTAGACCTCCCACCTGTAATACTGAATCATACAATGCCACACAAAATATAGTATATAGAGATGTTTTAGACATAGCAAATAGCTTATAACCTGTATATTACTTGTCTTGTATTCCTTTGCCAGGAACTAAACATAACTCCATATAATCGATTTTCTATTGTATAGTAATCTATAACTTCAGCTCTTTACATCTTTCGTTTGCAGTTTCTCTGTTAACAGACAAGCATCATTGAAAGAATTCCTATTTCACTCATGGAAAGGAAAATCAGCAAAGTCAATGAAATTGTGCCTAATACGCAGCACTGGACAGCTATAGTTCAAGTGTTTGATAAACAAAAAGTTCAGATATCAAAAGCTGGAAACAAATACAAAAAATTGGTTCTGGTTGATGACGAGGTACTACTGGCTACTGTTTTATAACAAAATAGAAACAACTCCTTCTAACTGGTTTTTTCCGTTGCCATGCAAAACATACTTGCTCTCAGGGAAACAAAGTGGATGCTATCATGTGCAAATCTGATATAGAATTCTTTAGAGATCATTTCCAGCTTTACAAAAGATACATGATATCAAATGCACGAGTGGAGCCAACACAATTAGAATTTCGAACTCATGAGAATCAATGTAACTGGATAATCGACAACTCCACTGTTGTTGAAGCTATACAAGAAGCAAATCCTCCGCAGCTTCCTCTGACAATCAACTTCACTCCTTTCAAGAAATTCCATCAATATATAGATGATAACACAGAAATAGGTACATCACTTTCACTAAAAAATATGATTCTATATTCGATTTATTATAGCAATCTATAACTCCTTTCCAAAATTAGATGTCCTAGGTGTTGTCAGTGAAGTTCATCTTCGTACCTACAAAGGAACAACACCAAAGAGAGAGATCGTACTCATCGATCAAAGGTAACAATTATATCTCTCAAATCTGAAATTATATATCCGTTTTGGACCATTCCTTAATCCTGCCAAATGAATAAACAGTTTCATGCCGGTAATTTTGACACTCTGGGGAGACCATGAAACTGATGAAGGCCAGGCTTTGACAAATATAGTCCAAAATATGCCTTTCATTGCTACTTTACGACTCAAAGTGACTTCTTATCATAGTAAGTACCTATCTACATTCTAATCAGACTACCATATACAAATTACATTTTTTTAATAATCTTATACAATCGTTTATCTTTATACATCATATTTTATTACCGATTAACGCTATATGCACTGCAGCAATGAACCTGTCTACAAAATTTGGATCTAGCATTCTTATAAATCCACCGCTCCAGCAAGCTTCTGAAATCAAAACATGGTAAACAATACTCTCATACTACAAAACTCTTCCTAACTATTCACTGCTTATTTACTTTACATTAACAGCTTTTACTTTAACAAAAACACACCATGCAGGGCTACAAAAAATGAATACCAAATTCGACATCTAATGGCTGATAAAGCGTACAATGATCGAGCAAGATTGCTACCATTACCAGATGCAGAAGAAATGGCTACAATAAGAGACTATCTTCAGTTCCCTCTGGTAAATTTCACTCAAACAACTTCTTCTCATAAACCACACAAACCAATTGTTCTATACACAAAAAAAATGAACGATCATATACATTTATGTCACAGCAAAAAGCTTATTGGGTACAAGGAACTCCTAAATTGCTTGACAGAAGTCAAAAATTTTGGTATAATGCTTGCCCCAGATGCTTCAAATCTATACGTTCTATTCCACAGTGGCCAATTGTCTGTGTATCTTGCAACACGAACGTCCGAGTCACTCCAAGGTATGATACAAAACTCCACTCTAAAAAACGTCCACAAATTGCTATATACTCCAAAAATTTATTCCTCAATGTTCTGCGCTTCAAAATAGATGTCGATTAACTGTGCAATTGGAAGATTACACCGGAAACATGACTTTGGATCTCTATGGAAATGATGCTTCCCAATTGCTTCCTTTTACAGTACAAGAGATTCAGCAACAAGAGCAGCAGGTAACCATACATTAATTGAATACATTCTAACTTGCTTTATTACACAAACGCCTACATATAACATCATCTCACAATAACCTGTGACTATGTTTTCCTTGTAGAACGCACTTAATTATCAAGCAATAGAAGAGAATGTGAGCAGCAATATAATAATTTGCTTCGTCAAGAAGATTGCTTCAAACTACGCTGCTCCTTCAAATTATGCTCTGCTAACCAACACCAAATACTCAGCCATTATGGTACACAAACTTCCCAACATGACCAGCACTTCAGAGAGCAGCTCCAGCGGCCTTAGTGGAGAAAAAAACACAACAAGAATGCTCATCGACTCTCCATCACACCCAGAAACAACCGAAGTTGCACATATACCAGAACCTTCAACAAATATAGACAGCAATCTCCTGACCGCACTCAAACTGACAGAGAGCCCCATCAAAAAATAACGAACCGACAACTACAACAATTAGGCTTGCAATCCCTTAACACTTTTGAAAATGCAAACAGCTCTAAGAAGCTTTAGCTGTAAATATGTCTAAATATGCCTGCATGATCCTGTAAATTGGATATAGACAATGATCCACATAAATCTATCCTCTTCAAAAAACCTAAAAAATTATCTATATCACAGACGCAGACCATCAATCAACGCAATAATATAAATAAAAAAAATCCCATGACGCCCACGCATCGCGCAGGGACCGCACCTAGTATATATATATATAGCTCATGAAACTGTTTAAAAATTGTCAAAATAAAAGGCAGAAGACAAAGGTTATTCATGTTCATTACATGCCTTTTTTTTTGTAGTATAAATCAGTAATTCTTCAATGACTTGGTCTAACATATCCCCTAGGGCTAGGATTAAATGGGGAGTACATGTTTATTTTTCGTAAAAATGAAATTTAGTCAGGAAAGTCTATTAATCGATGGAGATAACGGCTTTATTTGGATTAGCTGTTTTTGAAAAATTTTACTGTAGCAGAGTTTTTATAGTATATTTTGAAATATTTTTGAAATATTTTTAGAAAATATTTTGGGATATTTAAGTGTTGAAGAGTTTTTAGAATATATTTTGGGATATTTTTTAAATGTTAAAAAAATTTAAACTACTTTTTAGAGTACCTTTTAGAGTACTTTTTAAAAATTTTAACAATATTTAAAAAACTAATTTTTGAAAAACTCTTGAATTCAAACAGAGCCAACATTTTTTGAGTATGTAAACTAGCAAAAATCCCTTTTAAAATTTGTTGTGTATTTGTACCTTTTGTCTTCTTTTTT